GACCCCTCCTTGGGTTTCTGAGGCAGTATCACTATGGAAGTAGATTGCCCCATCTTCCTTCCGAGGAGTGGCTGGGAGGTTTGAACCGCCAGCTTTCTGGTTAGCAGTCAAGTGCCTTAGGCATTACACCACCAGAGCTCCCATATATGTGTGTGTGTACTATATATACACGCACATATGTATATACATACACACACACACACACATATATAATTGCACTATCCAAAGTGGCAACCACATGTGACTGTTGAGCACTTAGATGTGGCTAGTGCAAGTAAAGAAGGGTTTTTAAGTTTTACCGATTTTTCTTAATTTTAAATTAGTCACTTACGACTGGTGGCGCCATATTTGACAGCACAGCAATACACATCTGTGCTGAACTACTTCTTCAACACCGCTGTAGGGTTTTAAAAGTACCATTCAACTCAACTGATCCAAAAATGAAAATCCCCATTTATAGACTCTCCCAGACTAATGCTCCTTACCCTAGGACTGTTAACTCATCCTAGTCTATAAAAGTGGGATTAGTTCTAGGCTGCTTATTTTTTCACAATAAAAGTGAAAAAAAAAAAAATCTTCTTTTTCTTTTTCACTTTTATTGTAGTGAAAACATACACATGACATTTGCCAGCATAACAACTTCTACATTTACAGCTCAGGGACACTGATGACATTTTTCATGCTGTCCAACCATTATTGCTATCCTATTTCAGAATACTCCATCACCATTAGCATAAGCTCAGTGCCCTCCAATCAAAAGATATCCTTTTTCCCCTCCCTCCTACTGCTGGTAACCACTAATAAATATTTTTTTTGTTTAAAACTTATCTAGAAATTTTCCCTCCTCTCTATTCATTGGTTATCATCCCTGGTAACCAACAAAGAAGGTTTATGTCTATGTATAAATCTTTCCTTGACATTTTAAAAGTGAACTAATACATTATTTGCCCTTCTGTCATTGACTTATTTCACTCAGCATAATGTCCTCTAAGTTCATTCATCCCCATTACGTGGTATTTTGCAGGTCCTACATTATTGTTTAGGCTTGCATAGTGTGGTGGTTATGTTTGTGTGTCAACTTGGCTGTGCCTGGTTGAATGGCTGGGCAGCTGGTGGTAGTTATTCCCCATGATGAGACTGGCAGTTAACTCCATGGTGGGATCTACCACAAGCAGCTCAGTAGCTGCTTTGGGTATGTGGTCTGCTTCCTGTATATAAGAAGCAGCTTTGGGAATGGTCTCTAGCTTGTGGCATACTTGAACCCTGCATGTAGCCATGTCATTGTTCAGCAATGTGCCATGCTCTGCTGACCTTGGAACTTAAATTAATGGCCTGCCGTGTGGTTTGGTAACATCAGGACTGTGCCTTTTTTACTTGTCAACCTTGGGCTTGTCACCTTCAGCAGCCAGCAGTTGTCTGAGTGAAGAAACTCCAGTGGGCCAGGAGCAGGAGGCAGAGCTGGACCCCATGGTTGAGGGGCTTTCACCCAGCCCCTAGAGCCTGGCATTTTGAAGTTGGAGTTAAAGCCTCCAAACTGTAAGAGAATAAACTCCTGTTTGTTAAGGCCATCTCATTTATGGTATATTGTCAGTGCAGCACTAGGTAACCAGAACACATAGTGTTCCATAGTGTGTATGTACCACAGTTTATTTATCCATTCTTTAGTTGATGGGCACTTGGATTCCTTCTGTCTCTTTGCTGTCATGACTAGTGCTGTGATGAATATGGGTGTGCATATATCCATGTCTGCCTATCACTTCTTTATAATATATACCTAGTAATAGGATTACAAGGAGCTCTGGTGGCATAGTGCCTAAGGCACTTGACTGCTAACCAGAAGGCTGGTGGTTCAAAAGCACCAGCCACTCCTCGGAAGGAAGATGGGGCAATCTACTTCCGTAGTGATACTGCCTCGGAAACCCAAGGAGGGGTCGCTATGAGTTGGGTCTGACTCGATGGCAGATAACAACAAACAACAACAGTGGGATTGCTGGATCAAATGGTGTTTCTGTTTCCAACTTTTTAAGGAATTGCTATACCTGTTTCCACAGTGGTTGTATCACTTTACAGTACCACTAGCACTGTATGAAAGTCCCAGTCTCTCCACATCCTCACCAGCATTTGTTAATTTTCTGTCATATTGAAGTTTCCTATTATTGCTAGGGTGAGATGGTATCTTGCGGTTATTTTGATTTGCATCTCTCTAATGGCTAAGGATCATGAACATTTCTTCATGTGTTTGTTGACTGCCTGAATATCTTCTTTGATGAAGTGTCTGCTTATATTTTCTGCCTATTTTTTAATTGGATTACTTGTCTTTTTGATGTTGAGGTGTTAGAGTTTTCTATAATATTTAGAGATACGTCCTTTGTCTGATATGTCATTGCCAAATATTTTTTCCCATTCTGTGGGTTCTCTTTGTACTGTTTTGAGGAAGTCTTTTGATACACATAAGAATTTAATTTTTAGAAGTTAGTAGCAGGGCGGAGGCGGGGCAAGATGGCGGACTAGGCAGAAGGATTGCACAGACCCTCTTCAACAAAGAAAAGGGAAACCAATTAACACAGACACAGAAGA